TTTTGAGCAACATACTGTACACACTTTGTACTCCATGTACTACACTAGACTAAAAAAATTAATCTTTTGTGCAAACTACAGTATTTGATGTTTATACTAAAATTTAATCATCATCTTACAAGGATTCCAGCAATGCAATTTATATTCTGCTAAGTTTAGTCGGCTACATTTTATAAGATAAAAACTTTAAGCCTAAAACTACCTTCACCCAGGCTGGGAGGGAAGCTAAGTGCCCTCTCATAATTTTGTCTGGACTAAAGGAGGTGCCGGACCATCAGTTCCCGGAAAATCGGTAGTGTACCCGTACATTCATTGTGTTATCCAAACATGCATTATAGGAAAATTTAGTGTAAATACTGTACTGTATTGTACTGTATATAAAAAAAAAAATATCTCATTGATTTTACCAGTGATGAGATACTGGTAAATTTGGGAGAAAGTCTGTCAAAATTTACTCAATATTTCAGCTACAGTGCTATGTCAGTAGATCATACCAAATGCTACAGGGAACCTAAAGTATTGAAGCTTATCTAAGTAAAATTATGCTAACTGTAAAAATATCCCGTGTATGAGGCAGAAAGCATTCTTTGACACAGGATGGCCAGCTGATAAGTCCTGCCATTGCTCTAAGCTACAGTTGTGGCATGCTTTGGCACATAGCTGCTAGCCACAATCATGGCTCTGATTTTTCCTGCCACAATTTGAATAATCCATAGATAATGGATGCTTCCTCAAAGCTCCAGCACTGACTTTGTCACCATTGAAGATAGCTAGAAAATATGAAAGTAAAAGTAAAAAGTTGTGACTTCTTTTGTTCTTATTTTTAGGTGTTGTTTTGTTTCCAAGGTTCTGTTTATCATACATTAAAATATTTAAAGCTTTGTGTCTTTATATGGCAGTTATAGGTCTTTGCCTAGGAATCACCTTGCCATGGTTGAGCTGTTGAAATCCCCTCCGCAAATGTTAAATTGGCACCGTACATATTTTACATCACTGAAAAGTTGAAACATGGAAGTCAAATCAATAAAAGTTGAGGGCTACCTGTATAGATATTCTAAATCGATATTACTGTATACTGTGTAGTATATATAATACGAAATGCTGTTCAGTCATATTTTTATATAAAAAAGTTGAATTGGCAATGGGGTATATTACATATTATATTTACAACAAATTTAGATATTAGTTTTCATTTGTCCACATAAACTACCGTACTGAAATTTCTGGGTATTGCATTAAATTAAATGATTTTTTTTTAATAGATGAAACCGTATATCATAGCAGTATATCCTTGTTTCTTGAATTGCTTTCGTTATATTTCTTTACTACTATACTGTAATGGATAAAGGAACCCTGTGACTTGTTAAATTCTCTGTTGTTCCTTGTGAGGTTTTCCTTCTTGACAGTTTATAACCTGAAGAACCTGAAGTACTGTTGACCTGTATTTATCAGTGCACTTCTGCTCTTAAGGAATTCATCCAGTATAGAGAAAAATAAGTACATTACCTGTACTGTATGCGAATATAACTTTTGTAAATAATGCACAGTAGCTAAAACAACTATCTGTGCATACTTTGTGGGGAAACAATGTGAGACCATGGACGATAAATATTGGTATATGAGGGCTGTCACTAGTCACACGTAAAATTTCGGAGTATATTGACCCCCACCTGCACAGATAGTTGTTTTAGCTACTGTACATATAGTATCTACACCAAATTAAAAATATCTTTAACTATAATTGATTTTTAAGTTTTACCTGTAATTTTTTTTTTTAATTTGTATGTCATGTTGAACTAGATTTATTACCATTATAGATAAATGCTGATAATAACTCAAAACAGGTTTATAAGTTTAGGATATTACATTGTGTCTCTTCTCAGTTTCTCACCTGCGCTCCAAGAAGTGTTTAATAATTGGGTTATTGTATTTTTAGTGTGAAAGTAGCAAATACAGTATGGTATTGTTCAGTGTATGAAGGGATTTATAAATTTTTTTGTTGAAGTATGATCTTTCAGTAAGAGGAGAGTACAGTACTCAGACATACACTGATAATGAAATTTTCTTAAGTATCAAAATCAGAACTAGTCTTCCTAAGTTGAGAAGTCCACAGTTTCCTACAAAGGTTCGACTTGAACTTGAAAATGAGCATGAACTACTGGGTAATTTGTTATTGATTTTTATTTCTTGGTGCTTATGCAATATATACCTATATATATATACAATATATATAATTATGTAATAACTGGAACATTATGTTGGTGATAGAGCTTTTTTTGCAGATAAATATTTGCTAATCTGATTCTACATAGCACACAGTGCATTATAATTTCCACATAACACATTATAACTTATATGTAACACTGTACATTATAAACTCAACATAACACAAAACATTATAACTTCAATATAACTCAATACAGTCGACTACTAAAGTCCGCTCACCTCTCCCCCCTGGACCACGAACCCCGAGATTCAGACTCTTGAATCCGACTTATTTATGGACAGAATAATGTATCTGTCTACTGCTTTGGGTTCACGGGTCTGAATCTCCGGGTTCTTGGTTCAGTTGGAGAGGTGAATGAACTTTAATACTGTAATTGACTGTAAATTTTAATATTTATATAACACTGCATTATAACTTCAACATAACACAGGAAATTATAACTCCAACATAACATGGCATAGTAAAAAAAATTCTGCATAACTGGATGGTATGACTAACATGTAACTTAGTACTGTACATGGCAAGTTCTGCATAATGCATTAACTTTAAATGTAACACTAATGTAACTTCAGCATAACACCGTACTGTATAGTTTAAATTCAGTTTAATGCAGTACAGGTCCACCACCGATTTTCCGGCACCCATGGTTCTAAAGCCTTGCCAGATTATCCGTTTTGCCAGACCAACCGAGGTCAGGTAATAATAATTCAACAATACACCTCTGACCCACTACATGTATTTATACACCTCCTATGTCTCTAAAGCACCATGGACTGCTAGAAACTTAAATTAAACAAATAATAAATGTAAATTAAATGTGAAAAGCCATAATTTTGAGCAACTTTACTCTACACATTTTGTACTCAAATGTACTACAGTAGACTAAAAGTTTTATCTCTTGTGCAAACTATGTGATGTTTATACTCAAATTAATTACTATCTTACAATGATTCCAGCAATGCAAGTTATATTCTGCTAAGTTTAGTCAGCTACACTTTATAAGATAAAAACTTTATGCCTAAAACTACCTTCACCCAGGCTGGGGGGAGGGAAGTTAAGTGCCCTTTTGTAATTTTGTCCGGATTGAAAGAGGTGCCGGACCATCCGTTCCCAGAAAATTGGTGGTGGACCAATACAACATAGCACACTACAGCTTATCTACCACATGACTCAGTATTGTGCTCTCTTTATTACATCTAATGCAGTACAGTGTGGTATAATTTCTACATAACACAGAATACGAAGGTTAAGTTGTGCGGAACACATTACAGTAGAACTTGATCATGATACAATGAAGTTCAATTTCCAGTTAAAACAGTACATTAGTATTTCTACATTACACAATATAATACAGTATACAGTATCTCCCACATAATACATTATGGGGAAACTTGAACATAACACAATAAAGCGTAACTTTCACTATACATATTACAGTGCAGTACAACTTCCACATAACACAGTTCTGTTCAGAATCATAAAACAGTACAGTGTAAGTTCTATATAACACAGTACTTGTCAGTAAAAATTCTGACAAAGTACAGTATAATTGCTGCTTAACACAGTATAAGTTTTACATAACACATTGCAGTAAGGTTCTAGATAACATGCTGCAGTATAAATACACAGTTCATTAGAAAAATACTCATACATTTTAGTTTTTACTTGTACAGTATTGCTAACATATGCATCATATAATTATATTCCTTAGGTGTATTCTGATTGGTCTGTAAGATGTACTGTGTTTTAATGTTGATGTAAATGACTAATTTACAATGTGACTTTTCATGGGTGTTTTATTTAAATACATTAGCATGGGTGTTTTATTTAAGCCATCAGCATGGATGTTTTATTTAAGCCATCAGCATGGATGTTTTTAATTGTAATGTTTATAAAGAAAAGTGTGTGTACTTAATAAAGGTGTTGCATTCTTTGGAATTAAAATAAGTTTTTGATGAATGTTTTTCAACAGGCTTATTAAATAATACTTTTAAATTTTTTTTTTGTTCAAACCTCAGAATGCGACACCTAGCCTTTAACCTAGGTATGTTAATGCCTAGCAATAACTCGCCAGGCCAACATAAAGGCAATTAAAACATCTAATAATTACTTGATGGAGTTCAGTGATTTGCATAGTAATTAATGATGGTCATACTTTTTGGTGCAATCTATAGGTTTAGGGATGTCTTGCCTTAAAAATATTCATTACTCAGAAAGTTAAAAACAGGCTCTGAGCCATTCAGATACTGTTAATAGTATTTATTTATATGTCCCATGGTCATGGGGGGCACATATATTCAGGTGATCCCCCCACAATCCCCCTGGGTTTGCTACCTAGTGGGTGAATTTGATATTAATGCAGATAAGTGTGGTCCACTATACAGGCCACTATACAACACTTCATCTGGTAGAATCATATCTCTTTTGAGATAAACCTAACAAGGTCTGTTTTATATATATATATATATATATATATATATATATATATATATATATATATATATATATATATATATATATATATATATATATATATATATATATATATATATATATATATATATATAGATAACGGTCATCCTCTAAGAGTGTCACTAGTTTCTTGCTTATTCATATCCCAAGTATTGAAAGCATCTTTTCCATTTTTTTTTTTTTTTAATACTGTATACTGTAGTTAGTGTACTATCAGAAGTAGCTGTCTTCAGAATAACTAATGAAATACAATATACCTTTGAAATATCTGCAATAATATTCAATATTTCCCCCACAACAGAAAATTTATACGGACTTCGAGCTACAAGGAATAATGGAGGAAAAGCTAAACACCAAAACTTATCAAACAATCAGTCAGCGAATGACCACTGAGGAAGCTGCCTGTGCACTCCTTGAAGGAAGTAGACAAGCTGATGATGAGTGAGTGTTTCTTACTAGTATATTAGTTGCATGTAAACTTCCAAGAAGCATCTGCTCCAGCTAGAGGGAAGAACTCTTGTACAGTAGTGAGTTAAACATCTCAAATCTCACCAAAATTTATATTAGTTTTGAAGAATTTGGTGAAATGAGTTGTTTATGTTATTTCATGTGAGTAACATTAAATGTGTCTTTGGGTTTCATTGCTGATGTTCATGCCAGGAAAATCTTATGACACTAACTTAACCTGTTTGCTAGTCTGTGTTTTCAGAAATTGTAAAACATTTCAGTATGTGATTTTCTCCAACATCAATCAAAATATTTTCTTTTTTTATTATTCTCTGCATAATTGCATGCTTTTGTTATGATTCCTTTAGCTTCTCTAGCTGAATTTCACCCTGTATGTTTACGAAAAACTGTGAATTATCCCAATATCACAGAGAAAGGTAATTTTATTTCCCATTTTATAAGTTAATGTAAATGTAATTTACTTTCTCAAAATAGTTATGATGGTTTAATTTCAGAATAAGAATACCTAAAGTGACACATGTTTATTTTTATTAATTCATAAATCATTCTATATCCACTCAGCAGTGTGGTCCCTCCCATACCCTCCTATCCTCGCATATCTCGGAATATTGTTTCAAGTAACTCTGCCACTACTCCCCAGACTCATAGTCAGGTGAAGTTCATAGGGATAAATTAAACTCACCTTGGAAGATTAAGTACTTTCATATGGAACAGTTTACCTGTGTACTTACACTGTGTTGCAGTTTGTACATGGATAGTAAACACTAGCTGGAATGAGTGGACTTGGAATCACTTGGCATGATGCTGCCTACAGTACATGTTATACAATATACACCATAACATTTGTTGATAGGTTGCAAGCATTTGTACATCAGCCATAATTATTAACAGATTTAAGTAGACTTACCTGAACACTATATGATGCACATACAGTTAGAAGTGTCAACGTGCAGCTGCTTGGCTCCGTAAAAAAAAATCACATTCAAGACATTCCAAATGCTAAACTCTGTGAACTGGGTAGTGAACTCACATAGTCACCAAGGTTACCTTTGAGAAGAAAGTACTCTTATTAGTGCCACATTAAGGCTGAAATTGAGTGAAAATATCAACTTATTGTTCAGAATGGGGAACTTAACGGTAAAGTAACAGTTGCCATGAGCCACGAGTCACTTTTTTTTATCTTTTTTTTTTACTGGGATTAGCCCACCCGAGCACCGTTCACTGACCCACATCAGGGCCTGGGGGGTTGAAAATATAATAATAATAGTACAGTATAGTCTCGGTTTACGCAGATTTTCCTTACGCGGTTGGTCATTTACGCAGCACCTGTCCAGATGCGCCAATTATTAGTTACGCGGTACATTCCTGAATTTACGCGGGAAGTGGCGGGCAAGCTGCTGGTCGCTGATGTCAGACTCGTGCCGATGACGTCGCGGACTGTGATTGGGCCCCGTATCCTTACCACCCACTCACCCCCTCCGCCTCGAGCTGTGATTGGTCTATTTAACTTTGCTTGCCCTGCCACCAGGGGCGATGAGTCGATGACCTTGACTGCGTCGATCCCATTGTCTCCCGTCTCTGCGTATATTCCCACGTGCCCTGGAACCTGTTTTGTTTTTTGTGATAGTGATAGTGAGGATATGGACTTTGAGGGGTTTGACAAGGAGGCCCTGCTAGCCTCTGTGGTGGATAGTGATACAGGTGAGGGCCAATAATCTGCCCTCTGCCTCGGAACCAACCCCCCATCCCCGTGTGCCCAGCCATCTCTTCTACTAATGTAAGTGTTAAAAAACTTAATATTATTGATATTTCTCTTATATATTAATTGTGTGTGCAGACCATCATAAAATTAAGATGTTATTTTTACTACAAAGTACGTATTGTGTCGGGAAAAGGGTAGTCTGGGAGACGGCCCAGTCTCTATTTCATTTAATCCCATATGTTCTGTTATTTCGTTTACGCGTTTAACGTTATACGCGGACCTCCATGGGTATAATTGACCGCTTAAAACGAGACTACAGTACACTGTAAATAATAAAATTTAACAAAAATAAATAAAGAAATAAAATTATAATAATAATAACCATAAATAAATAGAAAAAATAAAAAATAAATCAATAGTGAGAAACGATGAAGTACTGTATATGTATGTTGTGTTGTCAATAGTGAGAGAAACAATTGAGACCCTGCAATTGTGCGTAAATGAGGCAGAAAGTCAGATCAGCAACCTGGGACTTGGTTACAATTTTTGTGATGCTTGCATAAAGGGAGGATCAAGTGTATCTATAAAGAGAGTACAGTAATTGGGTAAATATGATTTTTTCCTTCTGCCCAACCTTCACCTTCCCAATAACTTCACATGCACCACCATACCACCATACTGTTACACCACAACCACCCTGAGCACCAACCACCACAGTTTCTCGTAAGTAGAAACATAATTTGGATTAAACTCATTAATATTGCATGTGCTGTACTGTTGTGATTATTATTATTGTTTAACATTATTGTTTTCCTTAAAAAGTTCTTAAAATATGTTTAGTATCATTTTATTACTTGTCAGAAATATATATATATATATATATATATATATATATATATATATATATATATATATATATATATATATATATATATATATATATATATATATATATATATATATATATATATATATATATATATACACACACAGTTAACCCTCACTTTACGCGGTCCCACATTCCGCGTTTCCACGTTTACGCGGTGCCCTGCCGGAACCCAGGATGCTCACATTCCGCGGTGCGTGTACCCCTTTACGCGGAGAGCGGCTGGCGAGCCGCGCCATTTTTGGATCCAAACCTCCCGCCATCCGCCATGTTGTGTAAGCGGCGCGAACATGGTGCGCACAAGGTCGCCCAGTCATCAAAACATTACCAGTTCTTCACCCGCCACCCACCACAGCCGGCCCAAGTCAGTGATAGTGATAATTATGGTGAGGATATGGACTTATATGGACTTTGGGGAGTTTGACAAAGAGGCCCTGCAAGCCTCTGTGGTGGATAGTGATACAATTGATACAAGTGACACAGGTGAGGGCCAATAATCTGCCCTCTGCCTCGGAACCAACCGCCCATCCCCGTGTGCCCAGCCATTTTTTCTACTAATGTAAGTGTTAAAAAACCTAATATTATTGATATTTCTCTTAATTATTAATTGTGTGTGCATACCATCATAAAGTTAAGATAATATTTTTACTACAACATAGTTGTGTGTCGTCAAAAAGTGGAGTTTGGGGGTCGGCCCGGACTCCATTTCAATTAATCCCATATGTTATGTTATTCACTTTACGCGTTTCTCACTTTACGCGGGACCCTCCGGGTTACATTAACCGCGTAAAGTGAGGGTTAACTGTATACAATTTTTCATGGCAACTTTTCTCTCATTTTATAATGGTAATCAATGGGAAAACCTTCTTCATTTACACACTTTTTTCAGGAACGTTACCCTTCCCTAAATCAATTTCTACCTGTAATTGTATAATTAAGTACAATTTACAGTATGTACTTTATATTCAATTTGAATGCTGATATATAATGAATATAAAGCTGTTCTTTATAATAGGTTTACATTAAAGGTTTTATATACTGTAACTATAGTAATTCTATGAAAATTCATCTGCAGCTCAAAACTAATGAATTTAAAATTTTGGGATGCAAGAAACTTATCCAAATTTTATCAGCTATTTACGTAAAATGTGTATTACTGTATAAGTGTATTATTAAGATTTCTAAATTACTGTTTATGTATAAGGTTTGTTATATTTATAAATATGCCATTAATCTTGTACTGTATTGGCTTCTTCAGCTTTAACTGTATTATTTAGAAGTAATTTTAATAATTCTAAGTTCACACCATGATGATAAAATATTACTTGCTAATGTGGCCCCCTTTTCTTCCCATCCTTGCATGCTATGCACAGTAATCAATCGTATGTATCCATCCACAGTTGTTGACTGCATTTTATATTATTATTGCATGCTGTTGATAATGTAGTGTTGGTAGTAAAACAGATTCTTTTTGTAAGATCTGTAATGATTATTCTTGTGCAACAAGAACATGAGTCTTAAAAACCAAAGGTTCTCAAACTGTTAGTGTAAATGTAGACATTTTATTTACGTACTCTGTAAGTACTATATACCCACCAACAAAGTTGCCGTGACATAAGGTCCCCCCAAGGTCTTTGATTTACAATAATATGATTAACTTTAGCCAAATATTGCATTGTTGGACTTTCAGGGTGACCTTATTTTGTGTTATACCCAGTTAATGAAATTTAAAAAAATAGTGACACATCAGTAATATGAAAAACAAATTCTGACAATTCGAGTCCCAAATTCAGTACGCACACAAAATTTTCATCTGTAATTCACCTGTAATTCATCTGTAATATATATATATATATATATATATATATATATATATATATATATATATATATATATATATATATATATATATATATATATATATATATATATATACACACAGTCAACCCTCGCTTTACGCGGTCCCACTTTACGTTTCCACGTTTACGCGGTACCCTGCTGAACACGGAATGCTCACTTTCCGGTGTGTGTACCCTTTTACGCGGAGAGGGCGCGAGCAGGGTGCGCACAAGGTCGCCCAGTCATCAAAACATTACCGAGTTCTTCACCCGCCACCCACCACAGCCGGCCCAAGTCAGTGATAGTGATAATGATAGTGAGGATATGGACTTATATGGACTTTGAGGGGTTTGACAAAGAGGCCCTGCAAGCCTCTGTGGTGGATAGTGATACAATTGATACAAGTGATACAGGTGAGGGCCAATAATCTGCCCTCTGCCTCGGAACCAACCCCCCATCCCCGTGTGCCCAGCCATCTTTTCTACTAATGTAAGTGTTAAAAAACCTAATATTATTGATATTTCTCTTAATTATTAATTGTGTGTGCATACCATCATAAAATTAAGAAGTTATTTTTACTACAACATAGGTATTGTGTCTGAAAGTGGAGTTCGGGGTCTGCCCGGTCTCTATTTCAATTAATCCCATATGTTATGTTGTTCACTTTACGCGTTTCTCACTTTACGCGGGCCGCCGTGGGTTCAATTGACCGCGTAAAGTGAGGTTCACTGTATATATATATATATATATATATATATATATATATATATATATATATATATATATATATATATATATATATATATATATATATATATATATATATATATATATATATATATATATATACAAGTAAATCACTGTGGGTGCGTGTGATCCAGGTACAATATATGCTGATAACCACAAGGAAAGAAGAAAACAAGAAGTTTTCCAAGCGCTTCAAAAAGATTAGTAGGGTCATTACCTCATGCCTGACCATTGTGGACTTAATCTCACCCTCCTCTGTATATATATATATATACCTTGTTTTGTACTTCTCCTTAGTCTGTACTCACCCCTGAAGATGTGAATTACATGTAAGCACTTGGGAACTAAGTGTTTTCTTCTTTCCTTGTGGTTATCAGCATATACCTGGATCACGCGCACCCACAGTGATTTACTTGCATATATATATATATATTTGTTCAAGCTCTGAATGCAACGTCAGCAAATGCTACCTAGGTATGTTAATTTCTAGCCATTGCGCCAGGCCAACATACAGGCAATTAAAACGTCTAATAATTACTAAATAAGTAATATTAGGAGGACACGTTGCTACCTGGCATTTAATTGCAATTCTCAAAACCCCCTCCCGCACCCTCCATCACACGCACTGCCACCTTCATCTTCTTGCCTGGCGAATCAGACACACAAAGAAGGCTCTGCGAATTTGTGTTGTAATAGCTGAAATACTAAGTGCAACGAGGATTTTATATACGATATTTATACATCTTAGCATGGTGAGGAAATTGAGTGACTTTTATTTTGTTTATGTCTCTCTGATATTGTGTTTGGGACAAATTCTTATACGATCTCTGTCACCAAACTGTGGTAACTCAAGCATCTGAAGCAGGCAAGAAGATAAGAGGAGGTGGTCAAAGAGTCCTCCAAGTATTACTGTGTCACAGTACTGCAAGGTGACAAGGCAAACTACTCCATTATGCTACACTGTCTCAATATGCTGCACCAAGCACTGTGTAAATCTGTCTAATTGATGCCCTGCACCCCAGGCAAGGATTGTATGTACATACTGTACTTAGGAAGAAGGCCAAGGAAAAACAGACTGGATGAGAAAGTTGATCTGCATCTGTAAGAACAAAATTGAATTCCAAAACTCTGCTAATAATAAGGACTGTGCTAACAATAAGAGCTGTGCAACATCTAACACAGTGCTAACAATAAGCTGTGCAACATTTAACCCAGTGCTAACAATAAGAGCTGTGCAACATTTAACCCAGTACTAACACTGTGAAGGAGAATGCATTTAGCTCCACAAGGAAGCAGAGTGAAGCAGGTAACAGCTGTGCAGGTGGTGGTATAGGTGAAACTGAGCAGATGATCCAAGAATTCATCTAATGTGGCTGACTCTTTGGCCTTGGTGAGTCATATGCCAGTGTAACATCCTGACTTGCAAGCCTTTATGTTTTCTGTATTTTGGGAGGACTTGATGTGTGGTATTTTAAGACCCACTTTTTGACAGGGTTATGGACTGATCATAAGATTAGTTCCAACCACACTACTGTAGAGTTTCTAGGTGTTGAGCCTAATCTGTGGTTGACACATTATTTGTGTTACCAAGAGGAGGGCAGTATTTTTTTTTTTAATTTATTGCTTTGATGGGGAAAAGAACCCCAGGGTCTTAATTAATCTCCCCATTGTTCCTCATTTATTATCATATTCACCACTTATTAGCATACTAGCCATTCGGGCGGTTAGTCTATCCAGTGTTAGTACAGGAGGAAACCGGAATCAAGGAAACCTGTGATGTTTGGTTGGGTCACATTGGATAACACCCTTCTAATGTGTATCCGGGCCAAGCAGGATTCGAACCCTTGACATATTGGTGAGAGATATGCTGTACCACCAACATCCTTCACGAGTTTGTCCTTCTTTCTTTAGTGGAAATACAGGAGGAAACCAAAATATAGTACTTAGAGAAAACCTGTGAAGTTTGGTAGGGTCATGCTCGATAACAGCACCTTTTTCACATCAGCCCTGGGTTGGGAATCGAACCCATAACGTAATAGTGAAAAATATGTGCATTACTGCTGTACCACCAACACTCCATGTCCTTCCAATGTTATGTTTTAACTTCTGTTTTACATATACAGTATAAATTTTCATACCTTTCCTGCAGAAATCAGATTTATTTTTTTCAATTTGATGATTTATTAATTGACTTCTCATGTAAATGGTGATTGCTGTCTAAAATCATCTTTTTTTGAGGTGAAAAGGGTGAGTGCAAACATTATGGTCCTGAAGCTGCTCGTAAGAAAGGATCTGATGAATGGGTTTTTTTCTGTATACTGTACTGTACACCTCACAAGTTGGGCTAAGTGAAGGATGAGTTCTGGGATAAGTTATTGCATGTATAGAATTGCATAAACATTTGCTTACTGGACCACTATGTAAACACACAATACGTACTTGCTTCCTGGACCACTATATCAATGCATAATACGTAAATACTTGCTTATTGGCATACTACATAAAAAAACAATACAGTACTGTACATAAAAACTTGCCTACTGGACCACTATGTAAACACAATCTATAAACACTGCCATCATTTGAGAATTTGCTATAGAGAGATAGATATTGTAGTTATACAGATCTGAGTTGACAGCATGGGTACTATCTGGTTTTATGGAAATGGGGAAGGAGTACAGTACCTGTACAGTATATTAGAAAACATCATAAAGATTTCAGATGAGACAGCTTTTTATAACCATATATTTTCTTTACTTACAGGTGATAACTCAGAACATTGTGAATTTCTTCTAATTGTTAATAAAAATGAAATTCTGCATGCTTGATAGGTTGTGTATTTATTATAAATTTATAATTTTGTTCATTATAATATTGTACTTAAATTGAATTTTTAAATAAGGTTGGTCCACTATGCAAGAGTCAAATTTACGATGTATTGTATTAGATTGCTCACCCTATACCCTGTATACAGATGTAGATCCTGTAGTATATAACCCTAAGTTTGTTGTTCATTGTTAACTAACACATTTTATATACAAGTAGATTGCATAAAGTAATATATACACTTATAAAGTCTGTTGCCATCATTTCTCTTTCTATAGGAAATTTGCCCCTTTTTAGACACAGTTCACAGTCTGGAAATTTATGCCTGAACTTCTCATCTTTGATTCTGGGAGAATGAAAAATTTATATTTCAGGAGAGTGTGTTTAAGGCAAGAAATAAATTATTAAGTGCAGTACCGTATATCACTAAAAATGTTCATTATGTCTAAGGGACATCTGCAATGAAATATTACCTCTTTAAAGGACACCCAGACTCCTGGACATAGTTTTTTTTTTAAATAAAGGGATTATACAAACCCTTTTTCAAAATTTAATGGGAAAACAGAAACTGGATCAAGCATCTGACTCCATCAACATATCTTTCATGTTACATCAGGAATTAGCAGGGAAGATGCTGCAAAGATATGAATGCCACAATATGTTTGTTTATTTTATGATTTGTTGATCCAATCATTATAACCATTCATAATAGAATTGTCCAAATGAAGAACTATTTACTAGTGTTAACATATTTAGTAAATATATCAGAACTTCAAATGTACACCAAGTAAATCAATGTAAAATTTTTTTACATGTGATTACCTGGATTCAAACCCTGACCACCAAGGTTTGCAGTCAGACAGCCATCATGGATGGTCCAGTGGATGGTTGTTCAATTGCAAACCTCGGTGCTCCTGGTTCAAATCCAGGTAATCACATGTGAATTTTTGTTTACATATCATAGTAACTATTAATTTTTTTTCTATCAGATATAAATTATGAAAATCAGGCATCTGACCACCCCTACATGAGTATGAACTGTGAACTTGGGAAGTACAGTAATGGGGACTGTGCTTAGATGCTGAGGATGTATATGTGACAGTACAATAATAAGCCTACACAGTAGCTTGATTTATTTTTGTCCATGGTGTTATTTTTCTGGCCTTTTATTTTTAAAACATTATTTGTGCTATAACTAAGCTACTTTTGTATCAATCAGTTTTATGGAAATTGCCAAAAATAACACAAAAAAATTGGCATTGGTATTATAATTTCAATTAAGAAATGATGTCAAATCCAATAGCTGATACTCGAAGTAATAATGTTAAATATCATCCTGATGTTCTCGTTTCTAGGTGTAAAAGGATTTTTCAAAACAATTAAGATTTAATTTATAGAATGAAAATTAACTCATAATTTTCCATTAGAATACTTAAAACATTTAAAGCATGCAAAATTCTCTTATAATAACACGATTATTCCTTCTTAACAATGCAAACTTAAAGAATATTAGCAATGTTTCATCACACTTCAGTGTAGTATTGTTTTGAAAGAAAAACAAAGGATTGAAAAAAATGCAAATGTAAATAAAGTCTGATGGCCACAGATTAATATTAGAATCTCCTTAGCTTGAACACCTTTCTTTAGATTGTGAACAAACAACTATCTCTCCCTTAAAACTTCTATACAAACCCTTTTCACTCTTGATTATTATTCCTATTCTTGTCCTCATTGACCCTATTTTTTCCCTTCCACTCACCACCCCAGTCTTCCTGAGGGGGCCGAAGGAGAGTAAGTAATGTTTATATGGTGAATGCTTGAATGCTTCTTTGCATGAAGGCATATTTCTTCTCTTATATTATAGTTGTATTGTATATAGAATGCTTTTATTTACTTACCAACATAGTAATTACTCCATTAGTAACTTACTCTCTAAGTTGCACAATTTTGGAAGTTTCAAAAGTGCAACTTTGGGAGATGATGTGTAGGTAACATGAAGCCATGCATTATGATTACATGTGGTACAGTACATTGGAGACAAGTCTTCAGTGGAGTTTCTAACTCAGTGTTTCAAAATCTTTGGATTTGTTTAACTTTTAGAAGTGTTGTGCATGTGGACTACCCACCTGTTGTCACATACACTCCGTTAAGATTCAATAATTCTACTTTTTTCCTGGAATTTTATAGTGACATTTAAAGTTAAATTTAAATGTTAAAATATTTTATTGCATTCAGTAAACTTAAATTCTTTTTTAAAGAAATATTGTTTCCATAAGCCACACAATTTCCTGAGTTGCACTGGCATGTCACCGGTTTATGAAACTTGTGGAGATATTGATTTCTGTTTGTTTATATTTAATGGTAACTATGTTTATCATCAGATCTTATTTAAGATAGTATTATAAATATAGTACACAAAACATACTAGTCTTGCCTAGACAGTTCAATATTTTTAAAAGAAAAAATGTGTGTAATGTTAACTGTAAACCAAAAAGGTGTGCAGAAACATCGTACATTACAGGGTAGTGTATTAAATGATTATACAAGCATGTCTTCTCTACATATACAAGTCTTTCATGCTTCATTTTTTACCACTGTCTTATTTTGGTAATGAGATGAAAGGAGCTAGTGTTATGGCTAACAAATATTAAACTTGGGGTATCAACTATCCTGAAGCTTAGTACAGTACAGTGCTATACAGGTACTTAGTATTTGAACATCTTTGCTACCATGAGACAGAATCCCTTCATATACAATGCCTCTTAGATTCAAGGACAGTTGGTCCTAATTAAGGAATGACATAGGAAGGTCATACAATTCACCAATTGCCAATTTACTTTCAAGTTCCCAGTTATTGTTGGGTATAGAAACCCAAATGGTGTGAAAAAATGTACTTGTATTTTCACCCTGCCTTGGGATTGAATCTGAAGCCTCTGGCTTGCAATTTTGTTAATCATTACATTAGCATGCAATATACTGTACAGTATGTATACTTAAGCATATCCCCCATGCATACATGCATGCATGCATGCATACATACATACATACATACATACATACATACATACATACATACATACATACATACATACTTACTGTACATACATACATACATACACACACACACACACACACACACACACACACACACACACACACACACATACATACATGCACAGATACTTACTGACATTTACATACACATACCAAGAACAGATTCAGAATCTTAGTAGAGGAATGTGTGCCTCAAGTGCAATATATTTCAGCTAGGTAGGTGTAAGCCAAGGGTTTCTATCTTCCCATTGTAAAGGAGGAAGATCACAGGCTTAAGAAAATTTTTGAAATGCAAGTGAAGAGGGTAGCCAAGTTGTGTGTGCTCTGTGCAGCAACTGATCTGTTGACTAAGGTCTGCCCACTTGTGTCTGTCTTTTATAACAGTAATAGCCCAGACAAATGTCTTGGTTACTACAATAGTTGGGCCACATCATCACATCAGTGAATGTGTTGGTAGATTGTTCATGGTCTTTTTCTCTGATATTGAAATCTTTGTAAGATTACAGTAGAATGGATATTAGATCTTTTATGAGAGTTTTGTTGTGATTGTGAACCATTTTTTTGGAGGGTACTATAGTGAAATGCCATAAGATAAAAAAAACAAAAAACAAATATTGTTGAGAAGAAAACTACATTACGTATAGCTTTTCTTGTATTTCAGAGTAAGGTTGTAATGCACATAGTATTATATGATATTTGATTTAGACAAAAGTTTTGAGGTGAAAGAGTACTTTATTGACATTTTTCAAAGTTAGAGAAGACAGTAGAGTAATGAAAAAAGGAAAAGAAAAAAGAAGTCAAGCTTTTGATGCAATAGGCAATAATTTACCAACTCCCAGCATATTCAGTTGAGTCATGTGTAAGATTGACCACTGTCTGCTGTCTCTCGTAACACACACTGATCTTCAGCCGCATCCCCAACAGACTCTACCTCATATTCAGTAAAATGCAAATACCAATATCAACCTGACACTCACTTGCCTCCACATACCTTATAACCTGCAGTTTTACATCCATACTGATACTTTTCCTTTACTGCTTGGCATCATTACCAGTATTATCACTTCTAAGCCTTTTTCTTGACACTATGGGTAAAAATAAGTTAATAAAGAGTTAGTACCACTGTGGAAAAAAAAAAATCTGTGAGAAGTGTTCATGCTGCTGCATTGATATACTGTACTGAGCAGTCATCAGAGTGCTTCAAATAAGAGTGTTATTTGTTGTGTGGTGTGATGCAGAACTGTTCAATTGTTTTATACAGGTACTGTATCAGAAATTTTCTCCAGAAGGATGAACATTTATAATGAGACCACATTTTAAGGGGTATGTTTGTACATATACAGGTCTGCTTGTGGAGTAAATGCTTAGTCATTAAGTCTAAGACCATTCTTTAGTCCGATGCCATTAGTCTGAGTTATAATAAATGAACTTCCAGCCCTCCAACTGGCATTGATGAAAGCGCCATCATTTTTTGGGTAAGAGGGGGATAATGTACTGCCGTGGTAAAATTTCAATATACTGTACCAGAATTTATGGTGTTCTGTGCCAACCAATGCAGTAATTAGTCAGTTAAAGCAGTGTACAGTATTACTGTACCGAGATTTATTAACTAATGCTATTGATATGTATAGTACAGTACATACCTTTATTCTATGAATAATGATACTTGAAAAAATAATTTATACAAAAAAATTTAAAATATATTGTTATACAGGTATAAAAATTTCTCATTCACAAATACAGGAAAAAAAATCTGATATTTGTATCCCATAAACCATATGAAATTGCTGGCAACCTTTAAAGGCTTTCCATATAACCAGTGAAGGTTCACACGCAATTAATGTTCCACTCCTCATTTTTCTTATTTTATACTTTTATATTATATTTTATTTGTTTCTTAATCACATTAGAGCATTGTACAGTACTGTATTACAGCATTATATATGAGTATTTGAGATATTTGAGGAGAGGTTCAGAAGAGAGTTTGGTATACTGTACAGGTACTGTATAGTGAATTTGTTCAGAATAGAAAAGTATACAGAAATCTGAGGAGTGGTTTCATATACTGTACAGTTTACTGTATAGCGAATTTCAGTACGGTATACAGAAGTTCAGTGTAAAGAGGTAATACTGTATATTCTTGTATCATACTAGTAAGATACTGTACTGACTTCTGAAAAAGAATATTAAATGTAGAAGGCTGGAGAAGAATGGCAGCTATTAACAAACTGGTTTGTTGTGGGTTCCCACTAACACAACCTGTCCACAAACTAATCAGGCACATTCCTTTAAAACAAATGGGTTGCATTTGAACTACTCAGTTAAAAATAGCCAAAGTTTGGAGATTTTTAAAATTTAAGAGACAAAGATACGGATAATTAATACACTAGCCTGTAATAGCTTTGCCCTTTTAAATACATGAGATTTTTTATGAATTATTGTATAGATATTATATTCTTCCTCCTGTTATACACTTTACTGTATGTTTAATAAGGATCATGATTTTTTTTTACTGTACAGTATTAGTTGTGTAGTACAGGTGGTAAGAGACCATGCATGGGCTGTGCAGTTGTAATAAACTTACTTGATTTTCTTATTAAATACCTTATAATTTTTTTGGTGTAATACTAAAATTTTTATACCTGTACTTTACTGTACTGTATCTATTTAAACTATGATGAATCTGATATTGCCTTCTGATATATATATATATATATATATATATATATATATATATATATATATATATATATATATATATATATATATATATATATATATATATATATATATATATATATATACTATATATATATATATATATAGTCCCCGGGTTACGAACGGGTACTGTTCCTGAGGACATTCTTAAGTTGGAATTGTACGTAAGTCGGAACACATGCTACAGTGGTCCCTCAGTTAACGTACACAATTCGTTCCAGAAGGTCGTTCGTTAACTGAAAATTTTGTTAACCGAAACCATTGTTTCAATGGGATTTTGGGTAATTGGTTCCAGCTCACCGAAAATTACATACAAACTAAAAATAAATGCAGTAAAGTACACTTACTTTGAGGTGTGCATGTAGAAGGCTCCTGGTTGATGATGATGATGATGATGGGAATTAGAAGTGGGGGTGGAGGAGAAGGGAGAAGAGAAGGCAGTGGGATGGAAGAGAAGTCACCCCATGCTTCATGCCGCCATTTCACCCATAAAATTTTAAGTTCACTTGGTGTAATTTAAAATTATGTTCGTTAAATCAACACTGCACTGCATTATATATTGTCAATATGTAAAATAAATTTCAGAATGACCCATAATTATACTGTAAAAACGTAAAAATAGTTTATGTTCAAGAGAGTCTCAAGCAAGATGCTTCCTCCACTGAGCAGACACAAACTGACGCCATTCTGGGTAAGTCAAGTGGCTGTTTGGCACGCTAAAAACTAGTTCCCTGTAGTACTTCAATTATGTTAAATAATTGTTAAAATTACTAAAAATTTTAATACAGTATAAGACTTGGAAAATTATTGAATAGTACAACCTTCTTGATATTTACTCACATGGTAACGAATTTAAGCCCTATAACCGATTACTGTATTGGCGGACTAATACTACAGCTGGTGAGCAGGCGAAAACATGTTGGGAAAAATTCGTAAGGAATTCGTTAACCAAATTTTTTTCGTTAACCGAATTGAATATTCTTATGGAAGGTAATTCGTTAACCGAAATTTCGTTAATCGAGGGATCACTGTATGTGCAAACCGTACTTAAAGAGCAATGTTTAAAATCCCATTATATCATGGCCTAAGTCCTTATATACTGTACAGGGGTACATCAAAAATCACTTAATTTTAGAGAAAAGAAGAAATGAAAGTAAAAAATAAGTCATCAGGTAAATAAAATAATGTAAATTTAAAGTTTTACCCCATTTGTATCGGTGAGTGTTCGTAAGTTGGGGAACCCTTGTATATATAGACAATACTCTACTATATTGCAAAGTCTTGGGACTCATGAGAGCTGCTAGGTTGTAAACACTTCCATTTAACTTGGCTTTGAGGATTCTTCAGGGTATATACATATGCAGGTACAAAGCTAGACATTACATTCTGGCCTTTATCACAAAAACTGGTTTTTAGAAAAAAAAATGGCATTTTTAGAGTCAAGTTCCCTAAAACCAAGTTAAATGGAAGAAATGGTATTTATAATTTATTAAGTAGTACAGTACAGTATATATAATGATCATAATAAGCACACTACTGTAACTTTTTTATATAGAATATTATCAGAAAATAAGTGTTGTTAAAAGTTGTTAATACTTAATTATTTTTGCTCCATGATTTCCAAAACACTGTCTTTTGTTTTACACTCGCCACAAAAAGTTCTCGAACGCTCTAAGAATCATACAATATGACAAAATGAACGAAAAATCAGAACTTTGCTCCAAGGAAGTTTTATTAGAAATTAAATTACTTTTTTTCATCTGTAAATACCTGTACTATAAAGATGAGCCACATATATTATTACAAATTATTGAGAGTCACTTTGCAACCAGGTATACCAACCATTCTGAGATAATACGAGCCATAGTGCTTATTCTGAAATCTGTTGTGCCCAGCAGTTCAAGAACTTTTTGTGGCAAGTGTACAATACATAAATTTATGACAATATTGTATACCACAGCAGGTAATATGCAACAGTTAGCCTCAAGATCAATGCAGTAAGTTACCCATTTAAATTGGCTCTATTTGTGTTGTCACGATAAAATATTGTGAAGAATTTATGTAACAGTCATCTATAAAAGTCATGTCTGTCGGACAGAATGTCATTTTGTTACGATGTAAAGAGAAAAAAATATGAAGTAACCAAGATCTTCACTGATGATTTCTGATATATTTTTGTTGTTTTTCTTATTATTCTACTTATACTGTACATGTTTTGTTTTTTTATGTATTTCTTAGATAACAGTTTATTGTTTACTTAAGTTTTGGTTTTTAAATACTAATTCATAACTACAATTTTAGGGACTACCCAGAGACAGGCATTGAAGATGATATGGCAGAGAAGAAGCCAAAGGTTACAGCTCAACTTAGCCAGACCTTGGGTGATGATCCTGCCAACTATGTGACCAAGGTAACTTGCTTATTTTCTTTACATTCATATTTATCTTAATTTTATTTCTGAAGTAGTGCAACTCATGTATATTGTGTAATGATATTTTGATCATAGAACATATACAGTACTTGATGTTATTATAACTTTGCTCTGTATGCAGCTAACATAAATAAATTCACACAAATACATTAGCAATACCACATACTGTACTGGCTGCTTTATGTGTCAACATACAGTGTAACCTCTGAGTTCTACATACACTAGAGCAGTGATTTTCAACCTTTTACATCTCACGGCACAGTGAGCCAGGCACTAAAATGGCTGAGGCACACTATCAGTATTTAAGGATAGATTTGATTGGCGGATCTACACTATGGAATTAATGAGAGAATTTGAAACTGCCATTTGGGCTTTTAATGAACAACACATATGTTTATTTATTGCATCATTGAAAAAAAGGAGTTTAATGCACTCCATAAAAGTACCAGTAATGTCAAAACGTATCTAAATGCTATTTTTTTAAATGCTATCCAAATGCTATTTAAACTCCCGTGGCACACCTACGGATGCTTCGCGGCACACTAATATGCCGCGTCACATTGGTTGAAAATCGCTGCACTAGAGACTGAATGTTGTATTAATTCCTGATTTTTGCAAAACTTTCATGGGCTAAAATAAAAAAAAAAATTACACTTAGCAGGAAAATGATAGTACAGGTTGTACCTCTCTAGTCCAGCATTCTGTGGTCTGGAAACTCCCGTGGTCCGGAACGATTTTAGTTTGTCCAATTGGTAGATAGGCAGCTTTTTTTTCTTTTTTCTTTTTTTAAACTTATCTGAATTATTATTATTAATACAGGAGTATTAAATTTTTGCTCCTCAGGCCCCAATGTGGGTCAGTGACCTATGCCCGGGTGGGCTAATCCCCTTAAAAAAAAAAAAACAAAGCCGCGGGAAATTAAGGTTTGTTTACATCCGGCAGTTCGGCTGCTCTCTCTCTCTCTCTCTCTCTCTCTCTCTCTCTACAGAGTACAACATTTAACCCTTCAATATATATGAGCAGTAAATAAGTGTTGCTTTCATATTCTTATGTAAAGTAACGACGATATGTTTTCACGTGTGCGCATGCTCACTTACATACGCGATCTCTCTTTTTTTCTTTACCATTATCGTTAGCTACTTCTATTGTTCCATTTATTAACATTAAAGAACATTACTTAAAACAACATATTAGTTTTACTACAGCTACAACCAAGGTCTTATTTTCCTCAGTTTTATATGTAAAACCAGTCAGTCACTGGTTTTGTAATCAACGAAAACAATGCTGTGTCATTTCCTCGTGTGTTTTAATATTCTACGTATTATTAATAAATTGTATTGTTCATTTTGCACACATAAACATTAATTCAATAAAAAAGACATTCAGTAATAAACAATAATGAATCTTTTGTACATAAGAGAAATGACGCTGTTTACACGATTATGCACGTCGTCTGCACGTTGGCGGGCCGTTCAAACCCGTCGAAATACAAGTTTCCGCCGTCAAAATTTTTATTTATTTATTTTTTTGTGTTCCAATAAAATACGTTAAGAATTAAAAACTCGCGAAATTTGAGAAGCTACTATACGACATTTAACCCTTCAATATGTCTTCAAAGAGACCATGATGCAGAGAAAGTGGTGCTAGTGCTTCCAAGCATAAGCACAAGTCACTATCTATCCAGGAAAAGGGTGATTTTCCATGGTCCAGCACCGGTCAGGTCCCGAGGTTGCTGGACTAGAGAGGTACAACCTGTACTCTATTCAGAATGGTACAAAAATTTGAAATGTGTAAATAGTACAGCATATGGATGTATATTTTTTGTTACTAGCATCAGTATATACTGTACACTTGTCACTAAGGTCATAATTCTAGCCTTGTTCTTACGGATTTTGTAGCTACACAGTATACAGCAGGGCATCACACTCTATTTCCATTAAAACTTGGTGGAGTGAGAGCCTTTTTATGGGGATAACTTTTCTTTATACAGTAAGTGTGTGTTTTATGTCAGCACAATATGGTTGGTCATATTAAATGTATAAACAATAGTGTAATTGTAAGAGCTGATGCAATTTGACACTGCAATAGTAATATGCTACAGAGACAGATGGTCTTCAAGTGCTGGGTAACTGTGTGGGTAAAAGCTAAGTCGGGCATGACTGTTGTGCCGTCATGATTAGGAATCATCAGGTCAAATATATTTGGTGATAGTAAGCGAAGACATGACTTGAGCTGTGATGACATTGTATGTGTAATTTAATGAGAATAAAAGAACCGACATTTCACACAAACTGAGCTCTTATTATACTGTACGTGAGATATAGGGATAGGTTGTTGGCAACTTCCTATAGAATATTGTTGCCAACACAATATCACAATGTCTATGTGTTATTTATGGGCTTCTCTACATATTATTCACAGATTGATACAGTAGAACTATATTACAGTCACATGTCCTACAGCCAGATTGATATAATGTTTGGTAGCATTTACGAAAATGTAGTACAGGTATGTGTGCATTGATGTGCCAGCTAGCACATAGCAGGTACATTTGCAATATTTTTTTTAATTAGCACATCCATAATATATAATTATGGTATATTCCTCTAAGAATGGCGATTGACATGAATCATTTGTGACAATATGTGTATCAATCTAAAACAAACTACTAATTACAGGGGGCAACCATACATGACATTAGACATAACCCCTCCCCGTTTTTCCCCAGCACCAGTATGCCTCCCACACTCCAACCCATCTCAACACTACCTTACCACCATCACCTTACCACCACCACAAGTGTCCAGTTTTATCATGCAAGGGGGGTTTGGACTCGGTTTATGAATGTTGATATGATATTTCATATTATTTTTCAATTAAGATTCATAAAAACAAGTATCATAATGCTTTTACTTTATATGTTGCATTATACATGCTAAAATCATACCCTTGCCGACATAAGGCCTAATGAATTTAATCCATAATGCACACTATAAGTTTGCATGGATGGTGGTAACATCAAATAATGTTTTTGTTTTTTTAATACAGGTACAACTTACCTCTATTATTTAAGTAACATATATCAGATAGCACTGATTTTTTTTCATGGAATTTCATGTCCTCATTTCTGACATTAATGTAACAATTGAACTACTGTATATCCATTTTTTCTCATTTCAGGTTTCAAATGTTGCTGGAAATGTTGCAGGGAAGGTGGGCAATGTGTTTGGTGGTCTTAGTAAAGGTATTGGAGGGATTACTGGAAAATTTGGAGGTGGAGGATTTTTTTAAACATGTTGATGACTTCTTCTACAATGGATTGTTTGAACTCAGTAAGAAAACTCTGTATGTTAAAGTGATTCACTGCATACTAATTTAAATTGAAAGATTTTCTCGACTGATTCCTTCTTTCTTCAAAAGGCTTTACCTGGGGGTTATTTAGAAAATCTTGCATAGAAACAATACAAAAATGAAATACAGATATGGCATTTCATAAGCATAAGGAAACTCTCTATCTTGTATAGTGATTGTTATAGAGGAAACTCTCTGAATAGTGGTTTTGGAAAGGAAGTTGTGTGGGTGGATACAATAATTCATAGAGAAGAAATACTGTATAAAGTTTGATGCATAATACATCCAAAATAACATATCTGAAACAGATCAAAATACAAACCAATTATAACACAAGTGCTTGTAAGCCAATATGTTGCCACTTCAGCTTATGATATTTTTGTTCACTTAAGTAAAAAAAATTAATATTTATACACTGTAATGGGTACTTTATAAAGAAATTTTTAACTGGGTGTACAATATTAACAATTAATTAATATGAAGGAACTATATGGCATACTCATCCATAAACTGTGAGCTGTACTTAGATAATACACTTTCATCTGATGAACCTACAGTTCATGACACATTGATAAAACAGTGTAACAATGCCATGGTACCGTTGGGCTTTCAGTACTGTATGCTAGATCGAAGTTTAAAGATGTCCTACCGAAAGTTACAGCTATTGTGCTATTACAAGGAGAATTTTATTCATTTTAATGGTCCTAAAAGGCAAATTTTTGTGTAGGCTTCAAGGTGCTAGGTCATTTTTTCATATTGATAATTAATCCTATTGAGCTAGTTCAAATAAATATTGTCAATGCTTAGTAATTCAAGGTTAAGAATTAAAGACATTGACAGCTGACAAAGATATGACAATAAAGATTGTAAAGTATGATTGTTATGTAAATTGGTACTTTTTATGGTGCACATGGCATTGTTCTTTTGTTTGCACTCAGATAACCACTCAATTTTAAGCTTTAAAAATTTATAGTAGGTACAGTACTTAAAATATACATTGAATGTATTAAATATTTCATATTATTCTTTTTACACCAATAAATGATTTTATTTTTGGCCAATTAGTAATGGAAGAAATAAATATAAAAAAATTCACAACAAACAGTTCAGTAAGAGCCAGCTAATGTGGCTTCTCATTTCTGTTTTCTTCCTCCAGCAATCACACAATCTCTCCTAGAAATAGTCCATGAATTTCTAATTGGAAAAAAAAGTAAGTAGAAATATTGTATTTACACTGAATTTCTTTCATATGGAACTGGTGTGAGAATGTATTTACAGTAATTGAGATATGTAGTCATTGTTTATATACCACCCTCTTAAGTTTAAAAGCTTTATTAACAGATGCTAAATTTTCAAAACTGTTTTATAGTAATGTAAAATAGATCTATAGTACTGTTATTACAAAAGAAAATGTCTAAAACTTGATTGATTCTAAAACGAAATATGTGAGAAATGTGAGTGGGTATGGAGAGGAATATGGAAGTCATTGACATTTTTTAGTTGGTTGTTATAAATCAGATATTTTTTTTTTGTAACGTAGATTTAAAAATATACATTGAGATTGAAAATATATATAAAGTTTATTTTCCATGCTGTGAAAGTTCAGAGTTAGTGACAATGATAAGTACAGCTCCAGGTAATATTATTATGAATCAAGATGGAAAAACATTGTTAAATACACACGGTTAAGGCAACTGTAGCAGTGTTCATAAAGAGCTGCAAGTTATATTTTTTTTAGTGTAACTTTACAGTATCATGTCACAATTAACACAGTTCATTGAGGTCCACTAGTTTTAGTTCAGTTACAAGTATTAGGGTTGTGTGGTATGTTATTTTTTATTATTAAATGCTATAACCAATGCTTGGCTCTATCAAATTACTTCATATTCCCAAAATTTACTGGTTGAAAACTCAAAACATGTGACTTTGATCGTTGTAACTGACATAAGAATTTATTAAAACCCTTCTTGTTACAGCCATCGCCATTAGAAATGTAGTATGAAAGGCAACTCTGTGACTCATTTGGCTTAGTCACAAATCATTATCAACATGTATAATTTTTTTTTCAAACTGCATGATAGGATCCTCCTTGCTTGTCTGTATCGCTTTTGACAACTGAATGCCATCTGAGTGTTTAAATTTTATATTGTTCCAGTTGAAAATAAGCTGATATATTTGTCTGTGGGACCAACACAACCCTGCACTATATCATTGGAACAGTTGGATTCAGGCTTGCCAACTGCCTGGATGTAGTCTATTTTAATTTAAATATCCTCAAAATGGATATCTCTATTTTCTACACAGCAGCACCTGATGGTAACCCCCGTCAGTTAAAACTTGTTTCACTCCGGCAGAATGTGTCAAGAATGGTGAATATTTTACGCTTTTAGGTAGGATAGTTTTTTCCTCCCATCATCTAGACTTCTCCTTTCTCTGGTTTGTTTCTAGCTTTTAGTTGAATACATGAGCCAATTTCCTATGAATCTCATATGAGTTTCCACAAGCAAGTTGTTTTGCTTTCAGACTTAAGTTGGCTCACTACATTCTGTTTCAATACCCCAGGAGACTTTTCTTCTTGTAAGGTTCAATGTGGTCAGTGTGAAGAACTCAGTCTCATGATATATGAAAGGACAATTGTGTTGTCTCCCGAGTCTTCTCTCAAGTGTCAAGTATGAGTTTAGAACAGATTCTTGTCTCTGCATATAACAAGTACTTGTAGTTTATTGAGCTCACAGGATTGTTTCCTTGGTTGGGAAACTGGGAATGGCTTTCATCATATTCTCAGTCTCAAGTTTAGTTATTTTGACCTGGGATCTACAGATTTATTAATCAATGTTTTTTTAACCATTGATCAGAGTGTGAAGTAAATAGAACTACTTTTTTCATTTATCTTCAGGGGAACCCAAGCATTGATGATGTCTCATATTAGTTACTGCCTGGTTAACAGCTGTGTGATACAGGGAACTAGGGAAAGATAGTTCCTTTTATCATTAGAGTTACCCCACTTCTGGATTGTGTAGTTGCACTAACCTTCTTCTTTCCCATATCTAGCTGGCTTCAAAATACATTACTGTACTTGGCTGAGCTATGCATTAGGTTATAAATGAAGGATTGATCCTGGTATTCCATTTTATAATTGCAAGATTGAATGGCAAAAGTTACCCTCACTTCTCTCATAGGGAGGGTGGCTGTGAGGTAGGTTGGGACTGAGGAATTTACCTGATTATGGTGATTTGTAACCAAGCCAATTTGGAATCATGAAGTACCTGGCTAGTGTGATGTAATACTTTCCATCCTTCAATGGAAGTTGTCACTTTTATTACCCCCATCTTTAAGAGCAATGGTTGTATTGGAAGATATATAACTAATTATTCCAAGGTACCTAAGTTTCCAACCCATAGACTTTGGTTATTAAAACTGTACACAAGCCTCTGAGTCCAGGTTCGGTTATAAGATTTCAGGATTATTCTCTCAATTTTATAATTTCTCAAGGAAAAAGAAGTATTTATGAATGCAAAGTTTAACTTACTATGTGGACCATTGAACTGTGTAATGTCAGGTTAAATAATTTTACTTACAAACACTGTTCTGTTATGACATATGAATGAAAGGTTCTTAAATATTATTATATTTATTAGCTGGGGTGACTTTGTTTTGAGATTGACTATGTATAAATTGTAATGATATTTGGATTGCAAGGGCTTATGCTACAACTTGACAAAATAACCTCATCTGCTCCTAAATTTGAAATTCTAATTACAATGATGTGTGAAACTTGCCATGAGTGAAAGTGAAAAGTGTCATCAGTATTAACACAGCTGGACACTGGAATGTCCACCCACCTACTGTTGATGTCCTCTTCATCCTTCTAATGCACTTCTTCATCCGCTATAAATCATATGAAACCTATTACTTAGCATAAAGCATTTTTTATTATCTATGTATATCTATTTATTATCTATACTGTATATCTAATTCATATCTTAAAGTAACCACTAAACCATACACAAATATCTTTCAATATAACTAAGCGTGTGGAAAATGACAAATATTTTGGAAGCTGAATACCTAATAGCTAACACATTGTATCATACTTAAAGCAACTGAGGAGGACATTCATGTGTATAGATCACTGTATGATCTTGTGCAAAATCACGTAATCCTCTTAATACTACTGAGACAAAGTTTTGTTAGAGAACATTTTTACCTCTACTTCACTTTTACAAGATAATGTCTTTTTTATTGTTTTTCTCCAAGAATATAATAATCCATCAGGTGCTTTTCAAAAGTCATAAAATAACAAAAATAAGCTGATAATATATCAGGAAGTAAATTTAGATATACTGTATACCAAGTATGAACAAATTTAATTTACTTTTAAACAAACACACAGTAACTGGCAGGAGGAAATGTGTGATTCTAAGTTGAACACAATATACAGTATAGTTTTCCTCCTGGAGAGCTTCAGCATCCTGACATTAAACTCTGTGCTTACTCCATTTTAAATTTTGCTTTAAGCATATGATTATAAGCTTGACTAGCAAGAAAATGCATGAAATTATCAGATGTTTTAATTATGTGAACCTTCTCCATCTTGTTATTTACAGTTTCTAAACAGTGGAGTTATTACATGAAACAACTGGATTTTTATGCCCCCTCAAAGTGAAAATTATATTTACTGAACACTTCATATATCACTATAGTACTGTTCCTTAACAATGTTACTGTTTTTCAATACAATTTAACTTTCATAATGCTGGCTGCTTGGTGCTTACCTGCTAACACACTAACACAAATCACCAGTTTCTGCTGCCCAGAAGTTAACCTTGAAACACATCATGATAGAGAGGTGTATCAAGGTCTAACATCATGATAGAGAGGTGTGCCAAGGAATGACATCATTATATGCAACCTGAATCTTGTGTGTCAGAGATTGGTATTTAAGAGAACAATTTCTCAGACTTTGTCTTTAATGTGCTGTATTAAGAATTCTTCTACTAAATCATAAGGAATAATTGTTGACTTCTAAACATATGCTAACTTGGATTAAATGGTACTGCATACGATTCTGTATGTAGTAAGTTACTCAGAGTGAAACTATGGGAAGTTAATATTCTATTAGGACATTGTTACAACATAAACTTCTTGATGCCACAGCCATTGCCTTCTCACTCCATGTCTTACCTTAATTTGTTGTCCTTAATCTACAAAACTCAAAGAGAAGGGAGGTAGATAAATGTATTCCTCTGGTAAATATACCTTTTTATTTTCTTACTTAAGGTATAAATGAAAAAAACTAAGAAGTTTTACTATGTGTGAAATTGGTAGCCATTACTGGAAACTGCTGGCTTATATCTCATATGGTTATATACATCAAGTCCTTCCAGTACAATAATCAGTTATCATGGTTTGTACTACAGTAATCTGAGTTTTATATAAATTTTATGTATATGCTCATACTGATACTGTATTTTATAAAGACATTTTTATCCTATGAAACATTGGTAAGCTATCCCCCACTTGTTCAACCATTATCTTTAAGTGCAAAGCATCATGTATTCCAAAATCCTTACAGGCAGACCTTGTCAAGTAAAAGGTGGAAAGACAAATAATAAAATAATTGTTATTATGAGCGTCCTCTACAAGAGTTTGGGTTAGCTTCACTGACAGAGGGATGAGTTCTATTATTATTAGGTGTAGAAACTCAAAAAAATATTGGTAAACTAGTTTGGTAAAAAATTTCTTTAATATTTGGATAAAAAAAAGTTTCTTGGTATAAAAATATATAAAGTTTAAATTTTAATTTATTGGTTAGATGTAAAATTTATGTGAGTGATGAACAAAATATTTTTGAAGCATGTAAAGATCATAATTTTCTAAATATTCATGGCAAAATTAAGTTGTGTGGTGTGTTTTGTATTGTACACACTTTAACAATAAAACTAATACCTGTGTACTGTACTATGAAGTAATTCTTCAACTTTCCATTCATAATATTCTCCTATACTGTATCAAATTTTAAGTTTGATAGAAATCATAACCTATACTGTGAAATAACTCCTAATTAATAACTAAAGTAATGATAAGTACAATATTACTTAATTCCCTGTACTACTGTATAAGGAAGCTCTTGTCCTTCTGTTGTTAAAAATGACAATATAGGCAACTGAAAATATTTTTTATGACATTTTACAATTATTCCAGAGCTGATTCAATAACTTAAAGTTTGTTACTAACTTAAAGTTTTGTCAATAACCCATTTTAGGAGTTTGATCAATATGTGTTCAGTTACATTTCTCTTATATTTATGAATATAAGAGTCAAATTTAAATGATACTACTGTATATGCAGTTACTTTGACAGATACTGCAATGGTTAAGGATACTACAGTATGTGCAGTTACTTTGACAGATGCCGTAATGGTTAATAACATAGGATGATCAAACATGTTACACATCAACATATTTTTTAACACATTTATTGTTCTTTAGTAGTTTTTATATTGAATTACAGTAAATTAAAAAAGAAACTGAAAATTTGAAGAAAAAAAATTTATACAAGGGAATGCATAATTATTAAGTCTGTTTTGTAAACTAACCTAAGTACTGAAGTTACTTAGTGCCATATTAATTAAAATTGACAAGATTATGCCACATGACAAATGCAAAGTGCATAATGAATGAAAAAAGCCTTTACTTCCTCTATTTTACATATGTATGATGCCTTAAAAAAAATTTCTGTCTAGCTCTTGGCAAAGTTCTTCATTATTTACTATACAAATCCTACATGTTATCCTCAGTGATAATTCAAGGCTGTTCATATTACCATAATGAAAGTGAATCATCATTTTCATATACAGTATAATGTTCAACATTCAACATGCGCTGAGAATCTTTCATTGTTGTTAAGTAAGTGACAAAGGAAATATATCTGTTCACAGTTGTACTTGTAACTTGATCAGAGACTTTAAGTTCAACAAGGCTCATTTTACCACTGTATCAAAATGAAAACTGATCCTTGTTGGGATACAGCAAAAACCTTAAAGTCTGTGATTATATACAATTTCCAGGATCTCTTGCAACAGTCTTCTTTGAACCTGTTATTGCAATAAGTACATAACTATGAGATAGCATTGTTTTAGTATTTGTGTTATTGTGAAATTATTTTAAATGTTGACTATAGAAATAATAAACAAAACAAGTCCATGGCTATCTTTCTTTACATCTAAATTTTAAACTTCATGTAACAGACTGGTCATTCTAGCCATTTCTACCCATGGCAGTCTACAAGCAGAATACACGGGGGTTGTCGTGTCAGCAAATTTGGGATAATTTTTTTTTACTTTTATCCTCTTCACCAAATGATCGGCTTGTTAGCCGTTTGGGCGATCGGTCACGTCTCTGTTATGCACTGAGTACTGGGCATGCATCGGCTCCTGAATGTACCTGAACCTGCTCCAGTGTTGGTCCTCAAGCACCCCCGATTCAATGTAGTAATTACAAAGTTCATGATACAATAAGCCAGGTGGCCTGAATTCTTTGACAGTGCCACATTCAATAATATAATGTTCAAGTGTATGCTTTAAAGGTTTATCACAAAGTTTACATGCTGAGTGTGTTGGGTTTCATGATGTTGTCTCACACTCAGGATGGGTTGGAGAAAGGAAACTCTTTATGGTGGTTTTCTTATACAGTGGTCCCTCGGTTAACGGGCACAATTCGTTCTAGAAGGTTGCTCGTTAACCGAAACCATTGTTTCAATGGGTTTTTGGGTAATTGGTTCCAGCTCACCGAAAATTGCCTAACATCAACAAAAAAGGTAGTAAAGTACACTTACTTTGAGGTGTGTATGTAGAAGGCTCCTGGATGATGATGATGATGATGGGAATTAGAATGGTGGTGGAGGAGAAGGGAGAAGAGAAGGCATTGGGGTGGAAGAAAAGTCACCCCATGGTGTCATTTCACCCATAAAATTTTAGTTCTCTTGGTGTAATTCAAGATTATTTTCTTTAAATCAACACCGCACTGCATTATATATTGTCAACATGTAAAATAATTTTCAAACGACCAATAATTTGCTTGGAAACACAGAAAAAAAGCATTTAGTTGAAGAGAGTCTGAAGCAAGATGTTACCTCTACTGAAAACACAGAAAGACTGACGCCTGTATGGTGTGTCGACAGGCTGATTGGCGCGCAAAAAACTAGCTTTTTCTACCTCAATTATGTTCAATATATAATTGTTAAAATGACTAAAAAAATTTTATATAAAACTTTTAAAATTATTGATTAGTATAAACTTCTTGATATTTACTAAAATAGTAAGGAATTTAAGCCCTAAAACCGATTACTGTAATGGCGGACTAATACTACAGCTGGTGGACCGCCAAATGCAAGCGAAAACATGTTGAGGTTGGCTCTTAAAAAACTCGTTAATCGAGGGATTGCTCGTTAACCGAAGTTAAGAATCTTATGGAAGGTAACTCGTTAACCGAGGGATCAGTGTATAAATCTTTTGAATGTACAGTGCAGTTTGGTGCTGGGAAGTTGTTGCGTGGTTAGGAGCTTGCTGAGGGAGCTGGCTGGTGAGGAGCCTGTTGAGAGGTCTTGTTGGTTCGGGAGCGTGGAGTAGCGAGAGGGTGTTGCGGGGCTCAGGTAGAAGGGTTGTCACGGCGTGGCTGGGAACTTTATATAGGAGGAGGTAGACGTTGCTAGTACCCGATCCCGCTCTGTAAGACCAAGAGGCTTTGGCTGGGAAACTTGACAAGGGATCGGCTGGTCAGCGACAAATGGCAGTTGTAGTTGTAGAGAAGAGTATCCGCTACAATACTCCCCCTCCCCTCCGGGCACAGCAGGAGACTTGTTGTCGGCAGGGTTGTATCCCACAAGTGAGACATAACAAGCAGATGTGTGGATGAGCCGGCCGTTACGGGAGACAACTCTGTCTAGAGACACGCAATCTGTGGGAGAAGGAGGGTTGTGGATAAGAGAAGTTTGTACTGGCGAGGAATGTGGTGCTTTTCTCGCGGCAGGTGCACAGTGCGCAGGGGCGCCGGGTGGGGTGTCTGGGTCCATAGGGCCGGCTGCAGGAGCAGTAGGTACCTGAGGATGAAAAGAGGGTACCCAGAAATGTTGTGGGCGAGGTTGTGCTGTAAGTGGCAATGGTGGGCAAACTGGCGGCAGAGGTGTGGGATGAATGTGTTCAGGGCGATGGGGAGGCTGGCATGGGGCAGTAGCCTTGAATGTAACTACTGCCTGTCGTAGTGTTTGTAGTAGGTTGTGACGGGCAGCAGGAGTGAAGTGGTCAAGGTCAGAAGCAAGGCGTGTGATGTGCTGCTTGATAGTGTCGGAGGTTATGACGCCTACCAGTCTCCGTCGATGTCGCTTCGTCGTGTGATTGCAGGGAACCTCACAGCGTCTAGCATTAGCACCAAAATATTGATGGTACCAACAGGGGGTAGATACACTGTGCTGGGGGCTGGGTCTGAGGCAGGACGGGTGTGTTGGGGTCGGTAGGACGTAGTGCGTGGGGCAGGAACAGGAGCAGCTGCAGGCTTGGAGGAGCAGAGCTGCTCAAGGGTGTCCAACCTTCGGTGTAGGGACAGTAGCAGGTCCCTCATGTCTTGTGAGGTGTTGGTTGTCTGGGGAGCGCTGATCAGGTTGACGAGACTGAAGGAAAGTGAGAGTGTGGCCGCTGAATTGTTCGCGGAAGCATGGCGCACAGCAGTGTATTCGTGGAATACTTTGTCTGCCGTGGCTGCATAGGTCGCCGAGGTAGTAGAATAGTCCAATATTGAGAGGACAAGACGAACTTCTGCAGGGAGCTTCTGAGTGTGAAGCTGGCGCAGGATAGTGTCAGGAAGCCTGTCTGTGTGGCGGGAGTTTAGTCTACGCATCTCGTCCCAGAGGCGTGCAGGCATTGAGTTGCCGAGGGAGAGACAGGTTAGGTCTTGCAGGAAACTGGTGTGGGGCCGCTGGTATCGCATCTTCAGAGCATCCTGTAGGGCAGCGAATTTGTTGTCAGCTGGAGGGTTGGTGATGGTCTCTGAGACCCAAATCCAGGTCGTAAGTCTGAATGGTCGTAAGTCCGACATAGATAAAAAATAAAATAAATAAATAAAAATTAAAAAATTTTTTTTTCAGAATTTACAAAAAAAAAATAAATAGAAAATCTACAATGAAATAAATAATGAGGAATGGATACAGTACAGTAAAAGTAATAAATAATGATGAATGGATACAGTGTGACTGAGCACTTGCCTTT